CGGGTCTATACGCGAACGTCTTTTCAACGTCTACGAATAGCCTGTGTGAAACAACTTTCACTTTTAAACCATTTTGCAACGTCTTTTCAACGTCGGGCCACAGACGTCTTTTCAACGTTGTTTCAACGGATAAATTGCTCGCTGGAAACGTACAAGTTACATACTTAGTCACAGTTGTCATGTTAACAGCCCTTAACAAGGACAAACACATTTTATTAATTTGCATTTATTATAAATATAACACTATACATATAACACTTTTCCTAATTAAAAATACAAAAATAAAATATATATTTCAGGGAAATTAACTATGGATTTAAAAGTGCAGAAACAACATTTCTGTGTTCAACAACAACAATTCTGTGTTTGTAGACCATTTTTCTGAATCATTTGAACTTCATTTTTAGATTCTGTAACAAGATGTGGCTGTGAGTCACTTGAGTTGGGATAGTATACCTGAAATCAGCTGCATCTCCCTCATCCTCACTTGATGATTCTTTGTGTAAAGGGAGTCAGAGTGCAGAGAACAGCCCTCAATTGCAGATTTCTCTGGTCAACGTGTTTATTCAATTCAAATCATTTTATTTTGTTCAGCTTTGCAATCTGTAAACATGCAACATCCTGTCCCAAAACCCCCAAAATGTAAAAAACCTTCAACCGGGACAAACCTGAGGAGAAAACAGCAAGGCAGTAGGTGTGTAGAGTATGAACAATTTAAAGATGTACAGTACATCCAATTCCTACGACAGAAATTATTCTAATATTGTGGATTACTAAGCCAGGGGTAAGGCAGGACCAGTGCAGGGACAACCATCATCAGACGTAACCTCCATCAGATGCAACCACCACCCGCAGAAACCTGTGAGGTGGGAAAGCACAAAGGCAAAGTTGGTCATTTGGGTTTATGATGACAGTAATAAACTAGTAATAATAACAGCAGCAGGTGTGTTAGAACCCTAATTTATAGATTGTTTACTTATTACATTATCAACAAGATAACAATTCATCTGCAACTTATGGTATTTCTGGAGTAACATGTCCAGGTATATTACACAGTATCATGCTTTAAGCAGCAGTAACTTACAATGTGTTGGCCCTCTTGTTTACAGAGCACAACTTGTTGAATTCAGCCCTTCACCCTTGCAATCTGTATTTAGCCCCCATTGCTTTAAAAACGTATCTTCAATGTGAAATGCAATAACATTTATGGGTACAGCAACAACCTAACGCATTAGTAACACCAAACACACGAAAAATATTCTGGGATGTTTACTTTTGGTCCAGGTCATCATGCTGCACGCTAGCATGCTCCAAGCTAGCATGCTAACTAGCAAACTACCTGCGCTAACGCTAACTAGCTTAACAAAAAGGGCCGTCTTTCCCGTATCGAGTCGGCAGCACAAGTAAAACACCCGGTTATAGTTCCATGTGTGCTTCATCCAAACACTCCCGTACTTACAGAGTAGTGGAGCCGGTAGTCGTGGTTCTATCAGCCCGTTCATGTCGCTCTGCTGCCGTAACTTCGCCTCGTCCGCTCGGAGCTCTGCAGGCGTCTAAGAACTCGCGCATGCGCGTTACAGATGTGAGCGGAGTTACGTGTTTACAAGTAATGTTTGAACCTGCCCGCATTATTATGCCTTAAACGCATCTTATTAACAGCACGCAGTCCGTAGTTTCATAATTATGACGTTTTAAGTGAAATATTAAATACGTTGAAATTACGTCTTCGCGTAGACCAAATTTCGCCGACCAGTTCATTAATTATTATGAAAATCTTAACGTTAATATCGTCTATCTTTCAACCTTACGTTACATCATGACACATTTATCAACAAATTGATGTTTTCTGGCACGTTGATGTTTTATCCCATTTTTAGCCGGTTGAAAAGACGTTGAAATGAGGTCTTAGACGTTCAGACCTCATTTCAACCCGATTTCAACCATATTTTAACGTTGAAATTACGTCTTGTGCTCACTGGGTAGTAATTGTGGCGTAAATGTGGAGCACGGATTAAAATGACTAAAAGACACAGCGCACTGGACAGTGATTTTTGTTTATGGCAGAACACGCGACCGAACATGTTCCCTCCGTTCGCCCCGATGGCTTTAACACAGACATTGGAGACATTGGAATGTGTGAGGGCCTCTATGTGGGGTGACCCCTCCCTCGTTGCTCTGAGTCACGGTACGGAGGAGGGGGCTGTGATCTCCCCGTTACCTTCACGCAGGGGCGTTGCCAGACAGACACGTCGCACTGAAGTATTTTATCATGTTTATTACTCCGTTTCACCAGCAGAAACACGCCAATCACTTACTCGATAGATGCCTCTCATCGGTCAAGAGAGGATCAACAGTGCATAAAACTTCGTAGTGACAATAATTACCCCAGTGACAGTGACGGTGACGGTCAAAAGATAGTTTGTTCCTCATGCTCACCCTGCAGCCATGCTCCAAACAATCCGCCGACCCCCACAGGTGAACAGACACGCTAATATACACACTACACCCCCTTCTGGTGTCGTAGATGCAAATGACGTCACACCACACGGGCACATACCAACAATGTAGAAGGAAAGAAGAAATAATAGAAAAGAATAATCAAACCCAATGTATGGCTCCTACACCTCTGCTTGTTTTTGTCACTTCATCCTCCAGTTCTTCACTTTCAAGCTGTGTCTGAATAGCTGAGTCTTAAAGTCACTATAGGCTGCATGCTTAAGAACGCTTTCGTCGACCGCATTATTATTAGCTTGAACCTATAATTGTTGATGCTAAAATCAACGCAGTTTCCCTCTAAATTACACAAAAACAACATCTGCATGGCGACAAAAGTGCACTGTGAGTGACTTCAGCAGCAGGATTGATTGATTTTGATCTGTGGACTCCAATTCGTGGTCTATGATCTATGGTCTGTGGTGTGGTGAGAACTGTGTGTGCTCCCCCTATCTGTGTCCCCCACTTCCTGTCACCTATGCCCCTTATATACAACCATGTGGAACCAATCACTGCCACCTAGTGTCCAAAATACTAATATAAATATATCCAAACAAAATAAAATATCATGCCAACAATAAACATAAATGGCTCCTACACTTAGCTAGTATCTATAATTGTTGATTTGTTTGGTATTATGTTAACTAACTACCAATAGACTACTTTAAACCATAATTGTTCAGAGTGTGTAGGTTTAATAAGACAAAAATCAAATTGTTATGTGTAACGTGTAGCTGTTCAATAGTTCAATATGTTATATCTGATTGTATCTAATAACAAAGCAACAAAGCAGTAAATCTACCCTAAACAACACACTCCTGGTAGAGATGGACGAGTTGCCTCTAAGCCCCATCAAAATGAGCTACGCCATATTGAGTGAAACTAGTGGGAAAAGGTTTTGTTGGAGTATCAGATCAGTAGTGAAAGAGTTTGGGTTAAATGGGTATGAGTTTAGTCCCAATGTAACGTGGGGAAATGTTCCGCCGTGGATTTTTCCAGCAAACAATGTGAATCTAACACTAATAGAACAGAGGGAAAAATTAATGGGAAAAACGTGTGATATTGGCTATCAGACTCAAGAGCACATTAACAATACGTATTATAAATATCTGCAAATATACACTGATGGATTGAAAAACAATGGGAGTGGGCACGTGGGTTTTCATAACAAAATTCAATAGGTCTATATGCAAAATAATTAATGACAGACGGTCCGTCTTCAGCGCTGAAATGAGGGCAATGATCTTGGGGCCATCAGAGAGGGGTCATCTGAGAGGACCTGAGAGGATTTGGTGCTGGAAATATCGCTGTTAATGCTGAGACTCCAAAGAGTGTTTGTGTTCATATGTGGCGGGAAAAACTAAATATTCCATTTGGTAAAGGGAGGCAGTGAAGGAACTAAAGGAAGGAACTATGATAACATACAGAAATCCATAGATATAAAGTCATATAGGGAAGTTTTGGCCACTGATACAGTTTGTAAAAGAGACGGGACCAAGTCGTAGGATCTAGTGGGCAACGGTAGTTCATTTTATGAGGCACCGTTTGTAAAATGTCGAACGTTCTAAAATCCAGTTTTGGTACATTTAGCATTATTATATGAAAAAAAACACGATAATATTCAAATGTCACTCTTTCAAACATTTAGAGAGAAATTCATGTAAATCCATCCAATTACTTTTCCAAGGATAATGTTTGTCATAACATTATATATGAATATAAATGTTAAATGTAAATGTTAAATGTTCACTCTATATGTCAGACTTGACGACGCAGGGTGTCAAACTTATTTTAGGAAGGGGGCCACGTACTGTCCACGTTGAAGTCATGCGGGGGGGCACAGGATAATATTTTGCTTTTTTTCACATAATAATGCTAAATGTACCAAAACTGCGCAAGACTTTAGAACGTGCGACATTTTACAATCGGCATTTGAGCAGTGGATCCTGAATGTGCACTCCGGACAGCAGGTGGCGGTGTGCAAATACACGAGATTCAAACCAGAAGAGAAGAAGAAGAAGAAGAAGAAGAATAAGAAGAGGAAGAAGAAGAATCGACCCGTTTCCAGTAACTTCTCCGGACATTTTGTAGCAACATTGTTCACTTTTGATCTCAACTCGTTTCCGTGCAAATCGCTCCTGGATTCCTCTAAAGAAGACCAGCGACATTCTTGAGTCGGATGTGATTTTTTTCTTCTTTATGTCTTAGTTTTGAACTTTCTGCTCGTTTTGCTTCAAATAATTATCCACCAGCTTCGGTGCTTTGGCTCAGCACCACCTTCCTCTGGCCTCCACCTTCAGCTTCTTATCGCATTTTGTCGCACAGCTGATTGAGAGAAACTCGTGTTTCTGTTTCTCTTCACGGAGTCGTTGCTTCTATTCTCGTCATCTGATCTGAACCAACTAGTCCAGCTGGTTCCACCCAGCTCGCCTCCATTTACCCTCCGAGAGAAGCGACCCCACCCTTTAGTTCACCTCCACCCTTTAGTTCACCTCCACCCTTTAGTTCACCTCCACCCTTCATCCGCAACGCACAATCCGCCAGAGAAGCGTCCTCAAGCGGATCTGGATCCATAAAAACTCTTTTCTTTCACACTTTACTTTTGTGTTTTTTTGTTTCCTCGTGAGTCAAACCGGAGAAACAGGAAGTGAAACGTTCTTCACTTCCTGGTTTCATCGTCCAGCTTCCATTCTGCACAATGAGGTCGTGCGTCGTTCTTCTCTTTGCTTCTCTGCTCACATTATGTGAAGCACAAGGTGAGAACTTGATTTATATATTTCGGGTCAAAGCTTTTATACCGCAGCACTATTTCTCCATTTTTGAACAGTTTCTTTGTGATTAATCAGGATTCGTGTTGTTCTTCTGAGCTCAGAGGCAGGAAGTTGTCTCAGTATAAAGAATCAGAGGTTTGAAAAACAATGAACTAGAGTTCGTAGATAAATATCATTGCTCTCAGCCAGTTAACAAGATTATTTAATATTTTCTCATAATTTACATAAACACATTCAGCTTCCGAGGGAAATACTTCCTTAAGTTCTGTTTCATTCCTTAATGTCCTTGTCTTATTTCAATGAATATTCTAAGTGTTCCAACAGAAGACGTGTGTGATTCAGAGGAAACATTCAGGTGCTTTTAGACACTTTCTCACCACTTGTTGAAACGGGCTGAACGCTTCTTTCCCTCCAAGACAAATGTTGACCTTTACTCCTCTCAGAGTTTAACTCCTTCAGCGTTCAGTCTGTGGACGTCTTATTTTCTAAAGTCGTCCATGTTCAGTGTAGCTGATGCTGGGGGACATTAGTGTGGTGAGACGGAGGGACAGAGGACAAAGAGACAGAATGGAAATACTTTGTCACGTCAAGAAGAAGAACTTTGAGCAGCAACTTGCTCTCAGTGGGTTTAGTTTCTGCTGTTAAGCTTCTCTGTGTCCTCAGGAAGAGACGACGTGAGACATTTGAAGAGACTTCTGTCACTTCATGTTAAGCAGTGATGAGCTGAAGGTGAACCGCTGGTTCAATGTGTAATAAATAAAGTGTAGTGATGGAGGAACATTCAGCAGTGAATGATTCATCACATATTGTGTGTGATGTTTATTGTATCATGTGTCTACTGTTTTTACAGGAACCATTGTGACTCCTGTGTTTGTGCTGAAGGGACGTGATCTGCTCCTCAAGCTTCGTGCTGATCCTCCTGAGGGGGTTTTATATGTTGACTGGAAAATCAATAAAACAGTCACTTTAGTAAGATTTATACCTGGTGGAGAACCACATGTCGATCTACGTTTCACTGGAAGGGTTCAGTTTGGTGAGAATAAATTCTCTGTGATATTGAAGAATGTACAAGAGGTCGACAGTGGACTTTATTCTGCTGTAGCAGTAACACTTCAAGGAGACAAACTAGCAGCTGAATACAAGGTCACAGTTCAAGGTGAGTCTGTAAACATTTCACTGATAGTTTCTGCCGCCATGTTTCATAAACTCTTCACAGAAACCTCCCCCCCCCTCAGGACCAGTGTCTCCAGTTGAACTGATCGTGGACCGAGTGGACTCCAGCAGCTCAGAGTCATGTGACCTCCATGTGACCTGCAGGACTCACAACGCTCACATCAGCAGCACTGTCAGTTGTTTCGACCGGGTCTGCATTCAGGAGGGAGGAGAGCGACCAGAGGTCACGACCTCTGGGGCTTCTCTCCAGGTCCACCTGTTGAACAACGTGATCATCTGTAACCATAGCAACCAGGTTCACAGGACCCACGACTTCAATAATGCTGAACAACATTGCTACCCAAGTACTGGTAAGACTGAAAGAGGAGACGACTTCATGATAACAATGACCCCTCTGCCCCTTTAACAAAACACACCTTAAGGTCGGCGCATTCTTCTGCGTCGTTGCGTCGACGCACTCGTTTCAATTCATGAATGCATGATCTAAAAGTCCTGCGTGTGTTGCAGAGCGATTCACCGCCAGAACAACAGGTGGAATGATGTGGTTTTGTTGAAGACGACCTAGAGAGTCACGTCTATTTATTTATTTGTTTATTTATTTATCATAGACTTTATTGCCCCGTGCATCCACACTGCTGCTTTTCATCGCGGACACATTTGTCCCGTATTTTCCTCCACAACTTTGTTCCTCTCAGCGATCTCCCTCCGTGAATCCAACCCGCCAATGACGGCTTGTATAAGTAAACATTCTTCGTTTTAATAATGTTGGTATTGTGCTATGAAAGCGGAAATGTGAGACTCCGTAAAGGACGTAGTCAGCGGACCAATCACAGCCTGCTGCGCTGCGGGAGGCTGCGTAGCTTTCGACGCAAGCGTAGACGAATGGGTCGACACACGCAAGGGACACGCAAGGGGGTCTTGCGTCTGCGTTGCTCTGATAACGCAGAAGTATAAACTAGGCTTTATAGTTTCAACCATTAATGACTATAAATGTCATCACTAAATTCTGCTTTAATTGAAGGAATTAAATGATTTCTTACTATAGATCACGTTAAAGATGTTTTCACAATCCAAACTTCAGTCCGTCAGAAGCACATCAGGCTGTGAACATGTGACACATTCTCAGCTGTGCTGCGTCATTTAAACCACGAAGACTCTTCTGATCTGGTTCTTGTTTTGTTTTACAGATCCTCCCTCTCACCTTGGCTGGGTGATTGCTGTTTGCATTCTCATTGTCATAGTTGTGGCTCTATACGTCAGGCTTTATAATGATCGAAGGAAAAGAATCCGTAAGTCCAAGTAAACGTTCCAACAAATAATCTCAACATCTGTAAAATCCTCTTTGTTTCCTCTACATAGAAACTCAATGTCTCCAAGTCCTCCATAACTATGTACCCACCTGTTTGGTTAAATAGCCCAATATCACAAATCCCAGTTTGCCTCAGAGCGCTGAACAATCTGTACAACACAGGACGTCTTTTACTGCATCAGATAAGGAAACACGTCTGTTAAAATATACATGATATTTTACCAAAAGGTGCTTTTTATCTCACTGGGATTGTCATGATTTGCTGTTTTGATACAAACATCCCAACACATCAAATCCAACACGTCAACATGTGCTTCTGTTTGACAGAGGGAGTAAATTAGACACCACCCAAAAGATGGAGTCACTTTATCTGCAGCTCAAGTAAAGTAAATGTACAACAGTTCAGATCTTTAAAGGGCTGTTTGTTCTTCTTCTTCCATCACTGACCTGCAGGTTTCACATTGACATATGATCGTTTTACGGACGAAGCTGCTCTGGTAAGCATTACGTGTTTGTTTTAAACAAATTTAAGAAATGTATAAGAATCCAAACCTTGTGCCAAGGTTGTTTCCAGGTTTTCCAGGTGGCTTCGTGCTGCTACGTGCACACACCTGCTACGTGCACACACCTGCTACGTGCACACACCTGCTGCTTGTGCTCAGATCCGCTGGGAGGAACCTGATGATCCGTGGATCCAAACCGGGTCTCTTGTGGCCATTAGTCCTCTTCAGCCGTGTTTCTTCCTGCTGTGCACGTGTTGTTTGTTTGTGTCTCAGTCCGTCATCCACATTTTCCCACTTCGCCCAACAGCAACATGTCAAAACCTTAAAAACTCGTTGTGCGGAGATCAAATCCCACGCTGGTGTCTGAAATACTGAAACAATGTGATTTAAATGAGGCCACATGTTGGTAGTCACATGACGTCCACTACGTGGTCACGTGACCCTCCTTTGCTTCCACGTGTTGGCTCACACCAGTTAGCCACTTTCCTCCTGAGCCGATGGTTTTCTGCTTCTTACTTGTTTTAAAAAGCTCCTTTTACACAGAGAACAAGTCCAGAGACACAGAACAAGTATCATTTACAGTGTGAAAGAGGAACCAACTCTACATGGTGTTAAAGTTCTAGCTGCTTTATTTATGGCTGATGCTGCAGTGTGATGTGCTTTCTACCCCGAGAGATTCATCTGAACTCTTTGTGAAAAGAGACCGTATGTGTGTTTTGTATCAGTTTAATGCATTTTAGAAAAAACAGACTCATTATTTTTAACACAGAGAGACAGAAGTAATTAAATCAGTGACTGTTAATCATCAGGAGATGATTCCCCACGTGGAAAATAGCTCCATTACAAAGAAGTAGCAAGTAACCTTTTCTTACGTGTGTGATTTATCCTGCAGCGCTTAGGAGTTCTGAATGCGATATCAGAATCACTGCTGAAGAACAGGAGCCCAGCAGACCCTTCAGATCCCTCCTAAAGCTCCGTGCCGTCTGCCGCTGAACCGACTGATCCGTAGACCGGCTACGACTTGGTGGAGAAGATTGACAATTAAAGAGGAAGGTTTTCCCAAATCCCCAAATTCTGCTGGTAGTTTGCAGCGTTATTGAAGCTTTCTATGTTTTATTTCATGTGATCTGCTTTAATGCAGAAAGATTCTCCTCCACACAAACGTGTCATTGGAGAGATTAAAAATCAATGATTAAATGTTACTGAGCATCACACACAAGCAGCTTTTTTTAGCATCACATTTGGAGATATTTTAATGACATCTTTTATATTGAAGGTCAACTTAGAAAAAGTAATAAATATGTTGTTGTCCTGCAGGAAGCTTCAACTGTGACAAATATGTGAAACGATTTTTTTTTGCATGGTATGTTTTTCATCAGTGTATCAAGTGTCTTTAAAAACAAAAAACCTGCTGAACAGAATTATGTTCAATAAATACCGTACATGCATGCAGATAAATAGGCAATGTGTATTTAATCATTGTAAATTGAACCGTATGCAGTATTATACGGTACATTTAAGGTTATTCGCTTACATATAATTGGTCTTGATTATACATTCAAGATGACATTCACCAAAAACACATTGACATGGTCTTGTGTGTGTGATATATTGTGTGTAATCAATGGATTATTGCTTTCTTGTAAAAATGTTACCATGAAGTTTTTTTCTTGCCAAAATGCATCTTTGCGTCACGTTTTTAATGTCTTTCCTTCACCAGGAAATATCTGCAAAGCTGAATTTATAAATCCTTTAAATCCTAAATAGTTTGCGTCCATGTTTGCTGCTCTGCGCTCGTCTTCCTCTTTTCTTCTCCTGGTGTGTTGCTGCCACCAGCTGTGAGTCAGTGGAACATCATCACGGGTTTAGAAGGTGACCTTTAAGTGGGAGCTTTCCTCCCGGGCAGCGTGACGTGTTTGACATCCATTTCTTTGTTGGTGCTTCTTGAAGTCCACGAGGTGAACAGTGATGACGGCAGACACCATGATGATCAGACCCACAGAGAACACCACCATCTTCACCAGGAACACACCACAGTGAACACACGCATGGTAGATTTATTCCTCTGTAAATGCTTCTTAAGCCAGTTCTTCACAAAAGATTCATCAGGTCACAAACTAACACTTCACACTGGAAACATTACAACACAAGACACACAACTTTTTGCATCACATACAAAACAAAAGTGGTCCCACTGTTCAGGCGTGACTTTTTCTTTCTCTTGTCTGTCCTTTTTTTTGTAAACGGTGTTCGGTCCACAGTTCTGCACGAGAGGACCAACTACCTCAAGGTTAGTCTTAATATGTGCAATAAACTGCAGCTAGAAGCAACATTTAAAAGAGCTAAATAAATAAAAAGCTGGTTGCCAAACTTGATGTTTGTTGCAGTCTGTTCAGAGACGTTAAGGAGGACGTATGAGGAGGAAGAGTCTCTGACACACAGACACAAACATTCACTCTCACATTCACACATACAATTAACCCCCAGATGCATATTTTGACATGAATATTGAAAAATTCCATAGTATAGCATGAAAAAACATAAAAGTCATACTATAGTAAGTCATAAAACATATTTTGTCCTTTGTTCTGTTGTCGGGTCGAAGGGATTGATCTGAATTTCTTCAAATATTCAACTTTTTAGTTTTGTGATTATATTTTAATTTGAGGAAACCGGACATGCAGCCGAATCCATGTAGGATCAAGGTTACATTATAAATGATATTATTATATATTATTATTATTAATATAATTCTTAATATAGTTAAAAGTTTTACATTATTGATCTGAAACAATGGATGACTTTCCTCCAACAATCGCGTCATTGGTAACGAGCTCCCAAACATCTCGGTGGGCCCCTGATTAGTAATCGAGTCGTACCTGAACTGTGTGGCTCCATCGTTGCGTCTCTGACCCCACAGACCACGTGACTACAGCTACAGCCAAGGACATCCATCAGGACTCCATCAGGAATCATCGCTCCACCCTATTTACTCCTTTTCTTCCCTTCAATTCATCAATACCGCTCTACCGCCACCAGATGGCGACGTTATCAAACGTGAAAAAAACCCTTTAGGACACAAAGCCAGTGACGTCATCTGCGGAGGGACCGAGTGTGTGTGAAGGACAAATGTCCTGAGACGCATTACGTCATCCTCCACTAATATGATAATACATCTCAGTGCCAAGAAATGAGAGGAGCCATAATCCACAGAACGACTTCACATGTGAACAAGGGGATGAGATGGAGGTGATTGGTGGTGGAGAAAGAGGTGGAGGTGTGGGTGGAGGTGGTGGTGGTGGGGGGGGCTTCTCCCTTGAGTCTGGAGTGCAGTGATGAAGGTTGTTCCAGACATTATTCCTCAATGAGAGCAGAAGGAAAGAGGAGAAGATGATCACTGTTACACACTGAGTAAAGACGAGAGACTGTCTTCTGTCCTGCTCTTTCTTTTCCAGATGTCTCTTATTTCTTTTTCGCTTTGTCCTCATTTTCTCCCCCTGTCCGTTAGAGGAGAGAAGGACTGAGGAGGTCAACGGTGAGGAGAAATGAGACAAAGATGAGTAAGATGGTTGCAGAGAGGGGGAAGGTCTGAAGAATGAAAAGGTGAATTGGAAGCGATGCGTGAATTTGAGGACAGGAGGAAAAAAGAGCGGAGCGGTGAGGAGACGTCAAGAAGGAAACGAGGGAACAAAAGAATCAAATGCAACCAATAAGACAGAAGAAAGGGACACGAGAACTGCTGGAATGGGGGAGAAAAAAGGTGACAAAGGGTGAGAGAGGTGAGGAAAGAGGAAATAGATCAGTGTAGAGGATGTAGGAGGGGAGGAGAGGATACATTTTGAAACGGAGGACACAGAAGAGGGAGAGAGAGATGGAGAGGAGAGGAAGGGAGGTGGTAGGAGATAGGAGGCAAACACGGAGAGGAGAGAAGAGTAGAGGAGGAAAGTGACTGCATGGCTGAGGAGAAGACATGAGAGAGGAGAAGATGTGATGAAGGACTCAGGAAAGGTGATGGACTGAAGAGAGAGGAGGAGAGGACAGGAGAGAGGATGGACTGAGGAAAGGAAAGAAGAGGAGAAGATAAGTGAGGGAGGAGAGGAGAGGAAAGGAGAAGGAGGCAAAGAGGAAAGGAAACAGTGTTAACGAGAGAGAAGGATGGACGGGATGATTTGAGGAAAGAACAAAGAGACTCGAGGAGAACCGAGGACGGCAGGAAGGAAAGACGTCCAGAGGACATCGGGACAATATTTCACATTAAAAAGAGTGACAGGAAAAGAGACAAAGAGACAAAGAAGAAGAGAAAAAGACACAAGTTTTAAATGTCACGATCCACAGACACACAACACAGACGCACAACACACACACAACACACACAAAACACAGACAAAACACAGACACACACTTTCCACGTCGGCTCAGAAGCGTTTGATCTGAATAGTCTGAAAATACGAAATCTGACTCTTTTGTTTCCAGATGATAAATAAATGACAAATAAAGGAACATTTCCTGCTGTTGTCTTTTTATTTTCTGTCACACTGTGGAAAAATAATTACATACATTTAAAAAAGAAAATTAAACAATATGTTCAAACAAACGTTAAATGACATTAAAAGGACATTTGAATTTTCCTCGAATAAAAGGGAAAAGCAGTAAATCCACATGAACATAATCCACCTGTGAACAATACATGGGGATAAAGTAAAGAGTTGCAGCGTGGAGAATAAATGCTGATGGAAACACGTCCTCACACCTCCACGTCCTCACGAGCAACACGAGTCCTTCAGGACGTCCCGATCAGCGTCCTCACGCCCAGCGACGCCAAGCCGAACATCAATCCTGCTCCCTCGTGCAGATGTTGCAGAGAGCAGCTGGACGAGGGACGAGCTGCGCTGGTGTCTTAAGGCCACGCCATGTCTCCTTCCCTCCGTCTCCTTCCCTCCGTCTCCTTCCCTCCGTCTCCTTCCTCACCAACAGTGTGTAACTCCTCTAAACCAAGTCAACACGCAGCGTTTATCGGGTGGAAAAGGCTTTTTCGGCCCGTTACGTTTTCCCGCTCTTTTGAGGAGGTTTGAAGTTAGAATTCTTCAGACTTTTAGGACTTTGAATGTGTGTTTCTGTCCATTAGAATAAACTCGTTGCTTCGCTTCTTTACTTCTCTAGACGATAAACAAAGTTACCTTGTAAAGATGAATTTAACTGATGGAATCATTTCCTGTCTTTAAATTTCATACGTAATTTGTGTTTGTCGGCTCAGTTGATTACGAGGAGTCTCAGTGTTGATTAATACTGATCTTATATTTCCACCACACACGTTTGACCACAGTCCTTTCTTCCACTGGGGAGGAAACACCTGCCGCTGGGCCGCCGCAGCGATCTCCCGTTGCCGTTCCCCGACTCAGTCCTCTGACCCCGGCTCGGCCAGTACTGGCTCCGAGACTCATGTCCCTGAATATTACAGAATATACAACATAAAGCTGTATATTCTGTAACAGACATTGATGCACGCTGAGCGTGTTATACAGACTCCATTTGATCAGCTTGGGGAACGTTTGGGAGAACGGTATTTTATCTGTTTCTGTTTCATGGAAAGAAGGTTGAGCCTCTTGATGTGGAAGCTGGTGGCGAGTAAAGTCCATCAAACTGCATCTGAGGCTCACATGCAGAGAGACAGTGACCTGAAATAACGGTTTAATGTTTCTGTTCTCAGGTTCAGACCTTTTTCACCACTGATCCAAATCTTCACGTCCCCCTTTCAGACACCCTGAAGGGTTGAAGGCCTCTTCTTGGTACCTGGACGGCCTCAGGACCTCCTCCGTGTCCAAGTGACTCATTCTACACAAAGTTATGGCGACAGTCAGGTGACAGAAGCTCTGTAAGAAGCTCGTGACGAGGTAATAGC